CTCTTTTGTAGATGAGCAAAAAAAAAAAAAAAAAAAAAAAACAACAGAAAAAGTAAAAGCAGCAGTTTGACGGTTGTTAGCGTCTAGTTTCACTATTTTATCAAGTGTTTTCTTTTTTTTTTTTTTTTTTTGCTCATCTACAAAAGAGTCCTCTACTACTTCAACTAGAACATTTCAAACTAAACTAAATCCACTTTCCTCTTGGAGTGGCAGTCACAAGGGGAATTTGTAAAAGCAGAGCGCTCGGGCAGAAGGTAGTAGTGTGTGGCGCTGGCCTTCTTGCCGTTCTCCATCACAGGAAGGATGCAGGGAGAGCCCTCACTGTTCTGTCTGTGTAAACCAACCCGACCGCTTACGTACTTCGGATCTGGTGCAAAGCTTTGTGTAGGGGGCATCACGCCGTTGATGTATGAGGGCAGACTCTTGGGACTAGGAGTGCGGGAACTTCCTCTGGACAAGTGGTCCCTGGGGGGCAGCTTGGGTGGTTTGTCCTCATCGCTGTAAGCCCCAGACGAGACCTCTGCTGACCAGCGGCGGCAGTCTGCGTTCTTGAGTAAACGTGGAGGGATAGGGGGTGGCACGTCAGGTTTATCCATACCGCTGGCGTGACGTCTGGCGCATGGGAGGCGCAGCAGTGAGGGCTTATGTAAAGAGCCCGCCGGGCCTGAGTGAGAACGTCGTAGTCTCCTTTGAGTCTTGTCCTGCGGTTTCGGACAGACCACGGGCTCGGGTGGTTCCTGTCGTTTATGTTCATATTGTTCTCGCACCTCCTGTGGTGGATGTGTCTGGTGGTGCTGTTGGGGCTGATGATGGCTTTGTGGTCCTAAAGGACCATCGTAATAAGCATAGTTAATCTGCCCACAGTCCCTGAAGCTCCTTCGGCTAGGAAGTCCATATCGAAAAGGAGATAATTTGGAACACTGGTCAACGTTAGCCACCAGGCAGCTTTCGTCCGTACTTGTGAAAAATTCTACCTCGTTGTCCATAGCCTGCTCAGGGGAGATGTCTGTTTGTGGGGGGATGGGTGGAAGAGGCCTCGAACATCTGTCTGGCGTCGCTGGCGGGCTGTTGTATTCGTTGAATGAGAGCCTCTGGAATGAGGGGACCACCTGGTCATCATCAGCCGGACTTGGAGCGGGTGAGTCTGTGTTGCAGGACAGGGTCAGATGGGCAGGCCGGGATTTCTTCGGAGGTAATCTTTGTGAGCTGGGACTGTGTTTGTGTCCTGGCAAAGGAAACATTAAAAAACGACTATTACCTCAATGTTCTTTAGACAAATAGATAAAACAAGTTCACAACAATTTCAAAAGACCAAACTAAGGAAATGTATTAACCTCTTTATAAAATCTCCTAGCTGCATTTTCAATGTATGATTCAACATGCAATGTAGACTTGTGAACTTACTTTCGTAGGCTGGTGGTGGCCCTTTTTGCTGTGTTCGATAGCTGTGATCTATGTTTGAAGTGTTCACAGTAAAGTAGAAGCTGTTAAGACAAATTACATTCCAGATTAGCAACTTCATGAGAGCGGGCTCAAGGTCAAGAAACTTTAGTTTGACCTGAGCAATATAACACAAACATGTCATGCATGTCAGATAAATCACAGGATCACTAGACCTGAACACTCACTTCTCCGTGGGCTCATGGCGATAGGGCCAGGAGGGCTTGGATCCAGCCATGCTGTGACAGTAGCTGCCCCGGAGGAAGGGGTTTGTGATGGGAAAAGAGATCTCCTGGGCAGTCAGGCCCACTGTGGACATGCTCCAGGTACAGTCGGATCGCATCAAAGCCAGGAAACACTCAGATCACCCGGCTGGCTGCCCGTGCTTCTGCTCGACCTAAAAACACAGCCCAAGTGCAGCCATGAATGAACGATGTCGATTCAAGACTTAAAGCAAAAGCAGGCAGAAAGAACAAGAAATGCACTTGCAAAACCAACGTCTGTTCYCCAAGTCGAGAAAAGAAACTCCTCACATTAAATGAGAAAACAAGTGACTAGTTTGTTATTGAGACACCCGATAACCTTTACCTTTGTAAAACTGAAACATTATCTTTTTATTAATGTAACTAAAGTTGTACACCGTGTCTGAACTTTACTTTTCATTTAAACTCAGAGTCTACACAAGCCTGAGCGCAGCAGCCAACTTTCAGTTTTCTGTTGTACAGGCTGGGCCTCATAATAAGTTTAGTTTATTTTAAAACTTGACCGTGCCACGCTCCATTGCTGCAATCCTGCTCGTCTTGAATAGGAAACGAAGGGGCTCCTCCTGCTACCAGACATATAACTGATGTTGCAAGAGCTCCGAATGTCAAGTGACCTGAATGTGTGTGTGTCATGTCAAGTATGTGTCAGAGCTGGGTAAACACTGAATACAATATTCAGAGGGGTGGGAACCTAACAGCATATTGATATTTCTGGGGTCAGTCGTTGGCTGGGAGCAAAATCAGATCGGATTTTTGGCTGACTCTGCAGGGTCACAGCCTGAAATGTCAGAGAAAACATTAATTTTAGTCAGTGGTTCATAGTTGGAGCTCAGTGTATGTCTCCAAATGGACCATTAGTAGTCTTTAACGCAATCTGGGTTTTCTAAATTTGACTCAAAGAGCACCCTAATGGTCCTCTCCTCTGGAGACCCGTGTGAGGTGTGTGCACACTCAGACAGACACTCCTCATAATGTAGGAGTGATAACTGAGAAGAACACAACCCCCTCTGCTCCTGGTCTCCTGTGAGCCATTTGTATGTGCTGACCTGACAGCTGCCGAGAAAACAAAGCTCTAAAACAACAGGAAGCACAGGGCTCATCGGCCCTAAGCCTCGACTGCCCAACAAGGCATGCATGGCCGTCGATTCGGTTTGGCGGGACGGGAAGCAACATGATCCTTGATAATGAACCCCCAGGGGCTTGTGCTTCCTCTTGCAACAGGTGCAAAGACAGTTCATTCTGGCAGTTAACCACAGGCGCATTTACAGGCAACGGGATTAAACAAATGATGTAACCATGCAGAGCTTTAGCCTTCCTCTCGAGAAATTCTTCTGGTCCATTAATTCTGACCAGATAATGTGAGTCTGCATCCTTGTTTTTTTTTTTTTTTTTTTTAATGATCAGTTCTGGTTGGACCAACTCTTGAGCCTATGGGTGCCAGAGAGGAAGAGGATCTCCTGAGGCTGGCAGTAACATCATTGGACACTTTGCTTCAAGCATGTCATAGTCAGACCTTGAAAGAAGCAGTTCACACCCCTGCTCATGACACCCCTGCAGCGGTTTCCGAGCAACCATACCCGCTCTACCTGTGCGGCAAGCAAACAGTGCGCACACCCCCTCACTTTACCGGATTGAGATAATAATGGTTAAAAGCCCTCTAGCAGGCAGGTGACTCACGCCATAACACACAAGTCTGCTATTTGGCAATGCCTGCTATAGTGATTATATACACAATGAATTATTTACCCTTTCGATAAAAGATGCATTTTACAGCGTTAACGTTTAATTTGAAGCGTGCAATCACACTATGCTGATTTAAAAAAATAATTAATTAATTTTTAAAAATCATTATTATTATTTTTTAAATATTTTTTTACTATTTTATCACAATTGGCAAACAACCTGCTCTCAATTTCTGGATTATTTTTCAATTAATTTAATTTTATTATTTTATTTTTTTTTTTTATTATTTTTTGAGAAATTCTCAGTTTGTTAGTGATAAAAAATTGAAAAGACAGGAAAACCAATTTTAATCTGAAGTTGCAACACAAGTGTCTGCACTGACACACACTTACACGCACATAATAACAAACATACAAGGCGATGGTTCTTGTCATTAACAAGCATTTAATAAGACTTGTTTTTTTTTTTTTTACTGAACTCACCTAAACAATCAGCTCTCGTCCTCTGGCTGCCTCCGCTCGTCCTTTCTTAGAAATAAAGTTCCTCGGTTTCTGTCGGACTCTAGGTTGAGTTCGTTAATCTTCAGATTTATCTTCCATTTCAAGAATAAAAATAAATAAAACAGAACGCCTGCGAGTTGGCGGCGCTCCGGATTCACTGTGACACTTCTAGATCCCTCCAGTGTTTGTAGTGAGAAATGTTTTATAGCTGCGCCGACTCCGCCTTTCCACACTTGCCCTTAAAGGCGCAGTGTTCCTGTTTTCCGCCTCTTCATGCGTGCTGCTGCAGACAGAGCAAACAGGGCAGCGAGAGGACGGCAAAATCCGCCTTAAACGCGTTTAAAGAGCACGTTTGAACAAAAACACAATTCACAACTGCTTCAAATCTCAGCACTCAGCTGTGATCCTATAATCATCAGGAAGAGCAAAAGTGATAATTAAAGAGGAAAAACTCAAAGTTGAATACCTCAGATCTGCAGAGAGACGGGAATATGGAAGCTCAGGCAAAGAGTAACCCCCTTATCAGCACAGAGACTTTTAAATCAAGCCAAGMTGCTGGTTTATCAGATCACCTCCAGTGTTTCCTTTTTAGTCGGATCAGTTTTCTGTGGTATTCACATAAAGTTGCTCATAACAAACTATTAAATCCATTAGAAGAAAAAAATGGTTAACCAGAAAATGTGCAGATTGAAAGAATTCCAGCCCAGTAGTCTTTCGCATATATTTTTTACGAGAAATTCTGAAATGTGGGTATGCGTTCAGTGTAAACAAAGCACTGCACTGAATCTGTTGAAAACCACGTGGAAGCTTATAGATTATTTGCCTGCATTATGGTTGTGGAAGTGCATAAACATGGAGCAATTGGACAAGCATATGAAAAGATGACATTAGGGTGGAAATGTAAAGGTGAATCTGAAGCTAAATGCAGAAATAATAATAGCGGGAGAGAGTTATCAAGACTAAATATTAGGTATCAAGCAGGTTCWTGAAGCTGTGTGGAGTTTGCATGTTCTCTTTGTGCTTGCTTGGGTCTTCTCCGGGTACTCCAGTATCCTCCCACAGACCAAAAACAGGTTGCCTTCAGGTCCAGGCCTCCTTTGCAAGAGAGATCTGTGATCTCTATGGGATTTGCCTGGTTAAGTAAAGGTCAATTAAAAAAATAAACAAAATTAACAGACCTCATTTATATGGCTCTTTTATGGACATCACCATTGTTGACCTGTTTTCAGTCTCTGGTTGTTTCCATATATGTTTCTATATGTATATGTACACTCACCGGCCACTTTATTAGGTACACCTGTCCAACTGCTCGTTAAC